GTTTCGCCTTGTCGACAAGTAAACAAAAAGCATAGTGGAATTGTCAAGATTTAAAAAAGATTTTTAAAAATATGTAATGCGAGTGAGTTCTGATTAACTACAGGAGTCTGTGCTTTGACAAACAAAATCTCGGACAAAAAAGATGACTAATCCTTTCTTTTTCTTTTCTATTACATTCCGCATAACTCCGTGCGCGTGTGAATTACGCGGGGTGAAGACAAACTTAAGAAGAGAAACACATTCGCGTTCATATCGTAATTGCAAAATAGTCAATACACAAAGCTAGAAGCTCGAGCAAAATGTGATGGTTCTACATGGTTAGTACAAAAGACAGCACGTAATATCGTTTGTTGGACGTTTCTTTTCTCCAAAGATACAAAGAATAAACGTCAACAAAATTTCTTGCTGTTAGTGCTCGGTAATACAGTTACGGGGACAAAATGGAGATACCTGCCTCTGGCCAGTTCTGTGTCCACGCAAAACTTACAATGCTAAGTGATCTCAGCCTTTGTTACGTTCGAAAATATCACAGAAAAAGGAAAGATTTGCTTACGAGTATTTTTCTTTCAGTGAGAATACATCTCAAGTTTCGCAATACACCATAACAATGTCGTCATAAAATGTTGGCAAGTATAATAATTATATATCTCTTTCTTTCGAAAATTTCATCTATTTCAATTTTTCGATACTGCTAATAAAAAGTGGCAAGTCGAAACACGCGTCAATATCAAATTACACGCGGATTTTATACCCTGCAAGCTTTGCGAGCTCAAATCCGTATATTTGAGATATATATATATATATTTAAGATGTTTTTATAATATATATAAGTATATATAATATGCAAAATTCATATATACAATGTCAAAAATTGTACTTATTTAATGAAATTCAACAAAAGTATTTTACAACCATTAAACATAAGAACGAATACAGTAACTGTACAGTGTGGCAATGTACAGAATGCGGGCAAATTAAATGACAACGAAAACAAAAACATAAAATACTGTCAATACCTTATTCACAACTACATCCTCTATATCGATAAAAAATTATCCATTATCAAAAAATAAAAATTATAATACAAATTATATAGTACAAATGTATATACAAAATATATTGAATAAATATAAATTTGTACAAATTACAATTACGGAATGTACTGATTTAGATTGCTTTGATGATACTATGATTAACGAAGTAGACCTGTTCGTAAATTTAGTGTCCTCGACTAAAACTCCGTTGCATAATTGCGCACTTACCTGGGGCACGATGCGATGCGATTGATATCTCGAGCATAGCTTCCGCGAGATCCTCTCTCAGTTGACTTTCACAGCTACCAACGGCCACATTCTCGCTGTCCAAAGGATCACCATAAGCCTCCACGAATCTCGGCGATTGCTCATAACTGCCTGTAAAAAATCAAATATAATAAATCTTTTACGTTTTTATAAATAATCGATTTATTCTTATAATGTAATCAAATCTTAAAATTGAAACATGTGATGTAATTTGCATTATTCGATCTATCAACGATTATTACATACTTCCTGATCCATCGATAACAACCGGCATCAATGGCCTAGATGCTGCATGGGGCATATTAACGGGCTTCGATCTTGCTGGACGCGATCCGGTGATTCCAATTTCGACTGCTTCCGCTTCAACCAGATTGACAGCAACACTAATAACGATTAATTTTCATTAAATTTCATTTCCATCAGAAAGATAATCTATCGGAGGATATTGAGATGACCAACCCGCTTGGCGCGTTATAAGTTTTAAAAACAAATTGTGGTCCCATCCACAATCGTCTATGCGGTCCAGCGTGCGTTACGATTTCCACTTGACTTAACCAACGACCCTCGGCTGTATCAAATTCTTGATTGTTTTTTGGCGCGAACGAAACACTGAGTAATGGATTCGATAAAGACAAAGGTGGGATAAGATCCGATGAATTGGGAGATCTACAGAGTGGCCATTGGCCCTTTGCTTCAACCTCCAATTCAATAGTAGTATCGTCGCAAACTTTTTCCTTTGGTACTCCTAAAAGCGAATTTTACTAGATAATAAAAAAATATATTTTTAGAGGAATAATATAAATCATCTCTTTTTCTCTTTCTAATCTTTTCCGTAAAAAATATATACAATAAAGTATATAATAAAGTATATAATATTTTCTTTCTGTAATATACCAGCGGCTGGTTTAGGATCCAAATCGTATTGTATCATATTTCCATGGCATGCCATAATGAACAAGGAATCGACCGCCCTTTTGACAACCTTGCTGCTGGACTCCCTTTGTGCGTACATCCAGGCTCTCGGTGGAGCGAAGCACGCGCAAATCTTCAACGGTAAAGTACCACTATCGTCCGAATGTAACCGTTGTCTTTGCTGTGGTCTACTATAAAATATACGATATCTTTTAATTACACCTTTATAGCTTATTGTCCCCTGTGAAGCTAATTTTCTACAAAACCAATAGCTACCTTGGCTGTGTGGAGCTGTTGACCTGATTCAAAGAAGACGGTTGCCGAATCTGAGACATAGGGTGCAATATCGTTGGATGAGGATACGGAGGAAGTCTAGGATTGGAGTACGGATATACGGACAAAGGTAATTCCGTATGAGATACAGGAGAATGAGATCGGGTACCATCATCCGTCAAGCCCGCACTTTTGTGGAACCGCGATAGTCTATTGACAACATTGGGCGTGGAATGAGTTCTAACGCCAACAGGACCTCCATAAGGTGCGACAGGAAAAACATGTGTTGTACCTCTTACGGTTGAAATCGCGGCCCAGCGTGTGTCACTTGAGAATACCATATCCTAACACGATAAAATACAATAAATACTTTTATATATAAATTCAAAGATATTTTCTCTTATATGTTTAATTTAAAAAGTTTTTTTATATAATTTAAATAAAAAATCTGTTTTCTTCACTTTTTACTCGAATAGATAATGCGTTTGAAGCTTTTAAATTTGCATTATCAATATTTAGAGCATTATGAATTTCTACCAAAAGAAGTCTTAACATCAGATTATTTCTTGTTCTAATGAAATAAACTGTAATATTCATGAAACATGTTTGGATCCATAATTCATCTTGATATAGCGGAAACCGCAAAATTCTAAATAATTATTTTAATCGTTTTACACTTTCAATAATATTGAATTAAAGACAATATAATTAAAATGTAATTAGCAAGAATGTATTAGGATGTACCTGTACTTTCGCAGTGGTATCGCCACGATGTAAAATATACAGGTGATGCACTGCTGCTAATGTCGGTCCACCAGGATGCGGTTGGATTCTGAATATGTGGAAGTCATGTCCTCTCTTGTCCGCCGTCATTAATAACGCACCAGTCAAATCAAAAGTCATGGCAACAATCGCATCACTGTGGGCGGTAAAATGAGCGATTACAGCATCCGCATTCGTGTCGTCTAACTCCTTCTCGTCTTTCGCGATCTGAAGGTCTAATATTGTAACGACGCCTGGTTGCGTCACGTCATTGCCCGCGTTATTGATAGCCATCGGCGATACTGAATTCCCAGTGAGACTCGACGCTACAGTTTCTCCTAATCCGCGAAGACCTTTCCCCAGTGACTTTGCCGCATATAAAACCGTCGCTGTGTAACTTTGAACACCTTCTCCTTCGCAACCACCACTGCTTCTTCTCGCAGGTATTAATTTTTTCTCGCTGTAAGTATATCACAGAAACGAATTATATCAAGTTTAACGAAGTACTGTCGTGCTCTGGAAGGCACTGAAATTGTTAACGAATGTACAAAATATCTGCAAAATTCTATACCTGTAAGCGAGCCATCGTGTTCCTAAAGCGACAGGGTTTGGATTTGGGCCAGGGCTGGCATAGCAGGTCGTGATTGTTATATTATTTTGCAATGTTCTGGCATCAAAGACTGCAATTTTTTCTAATAACGTTACGACCACGGATCGTCTATTTGCCAGTACGTCGCAGACAGGATGTTTGAAGCCTACACTGTGCACCGGTTCGCCGGTTTTTAAGGAAATGAAGTTGACGTCGCAAAATTTTGGTCCCGGAAGTGTCGAATCCGGCTCGGAGCAGACTGCTACCATCGGCCGTTTCGCTTCGAATTCGTCGACGTGTTCGTCGTCAGTCTTTGGATTTGGTAGAATTCGAAGGGTACGAACCACACCTTGTCGCCATGATAGAACTTCCGTTGCTTCTCCCGTCGCTGCTATCAGCCATACCTTGAGTTTGAAAGATTCGATGATTATTATAATTACACAAGAATGTAAATATGATGAAAGATGTGTCAAAATATTGGACACATATCAAACTATACAAAATAAGCTTTGTATTGTATCAATTAACAAATTCGATTTACCTGAACACCAACCGCATATCCTAATACCAATAACAACGGTGGTGTACTGGAACCTTCATTGTAATCGGGATATAAAGCGGGGTCATTTATATCCGCATATTCAAATCGCGCCCATGATATGGTTTCCTTATTATCAGAGTTGGATACTCCAGCATACCCCTGCGAATAACGCCAAAGATAGCATAAGGTTACATGGATTATAATTTAAATTTTTAATTAACTTTTGTTATATATTTTGTTATATACCTGTGGTACTATGTCATTGATGATTCCAGCAACACTATCAATAATTGATCGATCTACTATAGGCTGAGGTGAAACAACTTGAGCTCCTTTATGCACACCTCGCCTTGGCGATTCCGCAGACATTTTTTATTCCCAAATTAATTTTACCTACCTGCAAAGATAGCAAAATTTTTTTCTATTATCACATCATGAAGTAATTTTTATAAATATAATATAAATTAAATAAATAACTATGTAGATGTATGTTAAATATTTATAGATTGCGAATATTTGAAAAAATGAAAAGCTTTGCTATTTCTATTCAAAATTTTAGTTTCTATCAAGTAATACATTGTTTAAAGTAGTCAAATATTTAGAATATCGTGCACACGAAAGTTTGATTCTTGCGATTTCATATTTCGTTGCTCACATTGAAGATTTTGCTTGTAAAATTCCATCCGAAAGACACAACTACTATCAAAACGTAGAGAGAGATTTCTTTAATTAAAAATTCTACTAAATTATATATACAAAATATAAATAAATAACTCTCTCCCATGGAATTTACAGAACTTCGTGTACGTAGGAAACTCTCGGTGTCGCGACATCGTGTGACATTTGCGACATCGATGAGTAACGTAGAGGCGAACAGAGAATCGGAGACAAAGGAAGACAACACTCGCGTGCCCTTGCCGAGATACGCGTCTCTGTCGTAAACGGACGAATGACGGTCGGGAAACGGTCCGGAAACGGAAAGAAAATAAAACCTGGCGCGCGCGCAAGCAAACGCGAGCGCGATCACCAGGAGGGCGAGACGAGGAGGCGATTAGCGTTTTCCCTTTGGAAAACGCGGATTCATGAAGGGACGATCGCCGATCATGTAATTCGGCGCGCGTAAACGGAGGAGGACAAAGAACCCACGTTCAAGGTGCACCGCTCGTAGCCGCCCGACGGTCGTGCGAGTCGCGGACATTACTGCACGTCACGACGTCGTCGTCGTCGTCGTTGTTGTCGTGCGACCGTTTCTGCCATCGAGGCTGAAGCTCCGAATGTCCCACGAAGTAGTATCGTCGTCGTCGTCGTCGCGGTCGTCGTCGACGTCGTCACGCGGTGCATTATTTAACACGCACGAAAAGTGGGAAAGCGCATCGGCCTGTCGATCGCTCTTGGTGACGATGGTGGTGGTTGCGGCGATGATGGTGATGGTGATGGTGGTGGTGGTGGTAGTGGTGCGATGTGTTGACGACGGTTGGCGGTGGGAGCGGAATGAAACGGAACGGGACGGGAAGGGGGAGGCGGGATTGGGCGGGGAGGGGGAGTCTATTTTGCCAGCCGTCATAAAGAGACGTGTGTTGCACAACGCGACGCACAGCTGTGCGCGGATCGCGCGCTCAGGGACAATCGACGGGAAAGTCACGAAGCGAGAAAGAAGGAAGGAAGGAACGACGACCGCGCCGAATGGCGCGTCGTGTCGTACCTCCGATAAACAGAATCGCGGAAAACTAAATTAGAAAACGGACGGATGGACGGACAGACGGACGGATGGATGGATAGACCGACCGATTCGGACCTCGAGCGGTTTACGCAACCGCGTTAAAAAAAGCGCCGTGAACGCGCTGGATCGTCGTTCGACGAACGTTCGGAGCGCACATCGAACAAAAAGAGGGAGGGGAAGAGGGAAAGGAGGACGCAGGATAATATCGTCGGAGAAACAAAGAGACGGTTGTTACGCGGTTATTATCATCGCGCGTTCGTCCATATCCGGAGCAGGCGATTTAATCGTCGTCGTCGTCATTGTTATCGATCAGTCGTCATGATCGATAATGATTGAGATGAAAAACCGAGGAGAGACTGATATACATAGTAATAACACTTACTTCACCGCGAGACTTCACCGTGTTTTCTCATTGTGCGAGAGGAGAGACAGAGAAGGGAGAAGTCGCGTGTGGTACGTGTGTGATGGAGAGCGAGAGAGAGAGATAGAGAGAATCCGCCACACTGTACTCCGCGCACGCGTCACCGCCGCCGATGATACCACTGTCTTCTCCGTCTACTGCGTCATTCTGCGTCCCGCGAGCGACTGACAGACCAAGCCGAACCGAGCTGACCCGAGACGAGCCAAACCGTGCCAAACCAAGCCAAGCCAAGCCAAGTCAAGGCAAGCCAAGCCAAGCGAATGGCGCGGGTGGCTATGATGTCAAGCGCGCGATCGCGCGCGCGGAATACGGCGCGATTGTCCGTCCGCAATTTTCCGCGCCGCGGGGAAAAAAAGGCAGGAGCGCAGAATGTCAGACGGACAGACGAACGGACGCACCCCGAACGACGCGTCTTCGCGTACATACATCCGACGCACGAGCGACTTCACTTCTCTCTCTTTCTCTCTCGCGTCCTTCCGCTCCTCCACTCTGCACGACGGACACGAAGCGACTACGGCATATAATACGCACGCACGCACTCGCAACGCGCGCGCGCGCGCGTGTGGTGTGTGTGTGTATTGCCTGCTCTCTTCGTGTGCACCCGCGCGCACGCACACGCACGCAGAGGAGGGAGAGGAGGAACAATTCTCGCTGAGTGGGACAGTTTCTCCCGTAGAGAAGACAGGCGAGATTCCCCGCGCGGACACACCACTAGTTATACGTTATTGGGTGTTGGTACGTTTGTATACACGCACGCTACGTCGCGCCGCCACGGTCCACTCCATGTCAGAGAAACGAAAACAATAATCAGCTGATTCGACGGCTGGGTCTCCTCAGCGAGGGGCAGTGGGAAGAGGGGTCGGACGGCGAAGAGGGGGGAAGGGAGACAGGACTGGTCGCGATTGGAACAGGCTGGAACATGAGCGCCGCTTGCCGTTTGCGATCGTTTTCGACTTGGGTAGGTCGAGGGACTCTGTCTCTCTCTTCTTCCTTTGTGAACCTTACTTTATCTCTTATCAGGACACGGAGGAGGGAGAATGATCCTTCTTCATCTTTCTTCATCCAAAGGACTAAATTGCGAGATATCCTTACAAAGGAGGAATTCTCTTTTTCCTTCGTTCCTTTGTTCCTTTGTTTTTTCAGCTCGTTTCAAATATTTCACTTGATTATGATTTCTATTCTAGCGGGATAAAGGTTTGAAATAAGTCAGATTAATAAGATAATGAATAATTGATTCTTATGCCAAAGCGCCTGGAAATAAAATTTCGCATTATCGCATTATATTATATATAATTTAATATCGCTAACAGCAGTTTTGATACAATCTACAAGTTTACTTATTCAAATGGATTTAATTCGGAACGATTCGAATACATTTTGAACGTAAGCATTACGTCATAAAAAAAAAGTATGAAAAACAAGTATGAGACTCAAGGAAAATAAGTCACTAAAAATAACAATCGATGAAGTCGATTACGCGTGCTCGTCTTAATTAAACATCGAAATTCGCTACCTGTGACTCGAATGATCATTAATAGTCGTCAGGATAACGAACTACGTAAGGCGACAACGAGCGTGTGACAATAACAATCAACAGGATAAATAAGGAGCGGAAATAAATGCTCGCCCGAGTGTAACGTGTACGCGTAATCATCGATGACGTATCGAAAGTTATGCGCGCGGCGGTAAACATCGCAATATCGCTGACAGAGCGAGAATACGACGGAGTCAACATTGGAACAAGGCTGCGGGATGACGCAAGTGGCACGGCAGGCAGCAAGAACATAACGGACGCTTGATGATGGACGGACGGATCACCGTGAAGCTGGCCGGTCCGGCTGGCCGTCGCGGGACAATCAGCTGACTTCAGGCGATCAGATGATCGTCGCTGACGCGATGCGCGTCGCGTTCGAACGTTCAAAATGACCGCCGCGCCACTTGTAAATTTATTCCGCGCACGATAGTAAAATTATTATTTCGCCCTCACTTATCCAACTAATTATCCGATGTTGTTATTTAACGTTGAATTAAATCGCTCCGCGCGCTCCGAGCGAAATTGGAGCAGAATGAAGGTTCGCGCCGGATAGAAGGTTCGATGTCGATTCTTTCAAGATTGATCGTGAGATCAGACTCTGCACAAACGAGAACGCCTTTCTAATGCGTTCTTCTTTTTTTCCTCCAGGTCACATACATTAACATTAACATTTACAGTCGTTCTTGTACGATGTTCACCGTGACCCGCTTTAATTTTATTACGATTACGTTGATGTGTAACGCCATCGCCGTCGGTGCGCGGCCAAATATACTGCTGATTGTTGTCGACGATCTGAGGACCACCTTAGGATGTTACGGCGACGCTAACGCGTACACACCGAATATAGATGCCCTGGCTGAGAACGGCATCATCTTCACCGAGGCGTTCGCACAGGTTCCTCTATTCACGCGATAATCTAAATTTCGAGTTTCCTTTTCGTTCGACGCGTGAGACCAATACGTTCTTGTTTTTTTCTTTTGTAGCAAGCGTTATGCGCGCCTAGTAGGAACTCCTTCCTGACGGGCAGACGACCGGACACCCTTCGGCTTTATGATTTTTATAGCTACTGGCGTGATGCAGCAGGCAATTACACTACGTTGCCGGAACACCTGAAGAACAATGGATATACCACAATGTCTATAGGAAAAGTGTTTCATCCAGGTAGTTGGATCTTAGGTCTTGCTCTCCTGCTACATTCATCCTAGATATTCGATGCTAATCACGATGTTGATTAGATGATTATCATCTCGTTAATTCAATCGGCAGAATTATTTAAAGCAAAATTTCTAGCTGTCTTTAATCTCTGAGATATCTACTCGAATTTCGTTTGGATTTTCCAGGTATTTTTGTTCAAAATTCCGAATAAAATTATACAATTCTTAAATTGCAATGCAACTTTAAAATAAATTTTATTGCATATATCTTTTAGTATTTTCTAATTAGAAAATATTTGGATATTATTAAAAAATGTGGTAATTTTATCATTTTTTCGAAGGCTAGAATTTAAATTTAATGATAAAATTTCAAAAAATTCCTTGAGTTCCAATAAAATTCCATAAAATTTCCTAATTTTTAAGAGCAAAAATATTTTTTTAGAGGATACGGTAATTTTCCTTTCATGTCAAGTTTACGACAGTGCAACAAAACAGTACGGATATTGATGAGTTAATTAACAATCAAATTAAGTGCGGTCGTAGTTACTCTTATTTGCTTTATCGAGAATCGTATATCTTATCTCCGAGCTTGGAAGTCAATCAACGTCAATTAAATTGTAAACGATACGAGCAAAGAGGCCAGTGACGTCTGAAAAGCAAATATTTCATACATACGACCTTACAGGCATAAGTTCTAATGGATCCGATGACAATCCCTATTCGTGGACCGAGAAACCTTTTCATCCGTACACAGATCGATATAAAAATGCTCCAGTCTGCAAAACGATCCCGCAGTCGAAGGCAGCAACGAATCTCGTAATATGCAATATTTTCGTGTTGTCATATATATGGAACGTGACTCATGTATTATCATTTACAGATATGCCCGGTACATGTCTCGAGCATGCCGAATAAAACATTACCCGATATCGAATCATTACAAGAGGCAAGAAAATTCATACATAAACACAGGAAAAATTCCGATCCCTTTTTTCTGGCTGTTGGTTTCCAGAAGCCTCACATACCTTTGAAGTATCCCGAACGTTATCTAAGTACATTCCACATTTTATGACATGCAACAAAATTAAAATGTTATTTTGTTTACAATAGATTCAGTATTTTTTTTATATCATAAAAACATGCGAAAATCACCGTTGGAAATAATATAAAGCTTGCATTATAAACTTGCATCGTGCAGAGTATCATCCTATACGAAAATTCAAAATGCCTGAACCATATCTATGGCCGAAAAACGTGAGTAACGTTGCCTACAATCCCTGGACTGATCTCCGATGGAGGAAGGACGTAGCTAAACTGAAATTAAAATTTCCATGGGAAAGAATACCAGGTATACCGCGCGAGATAAACATATTTATTTTATATGTAAACATATTCATCTCTACAAGTTTCTGTGATCGGTTGATCATCTATTTTTCAGAGGGGTTCGCTAAATTAATTATCCAATCGTACTACGCAGCCGTGTCTTACATTGACAATATGATCGGCAAGCTTATACATCAGCTACGTGTCTCGACAATTCGAGAGAATACTATCGTAATATTAACATCTGACCATGGTATTTAATAAATAAAATAAAATACACTCGCGGAATCGCGTGTATTACATGGTTTGTTATTAAATATATAGGTTGGGCACTTGGAGAACATGCTGTCTGGTCTAAATATAGTAACTTCGACGTCGCAGTGCACGTACCTTTGATAATATCAATTCCAACAGTCACATCTGATATCAATAATTACGGTTCTACGCCTACAGATCGTATAAGATATAATGCGCAGATTACAAACAATGACAGAATGAAAGATAAGATCAATTCAAAGTACATGGTATTAGACGAAGGAAAAATCGGTGTTGATACAAATACAGATTACATGAGAAGATATGAAAGAATCCTCTGGGAGACGTATATTCAAAGGGAATATAATATATCTATGGAGAGCAGAGCGTTACGTTCTAAGAAGCATTGTCGAATTACTAACGCTATCGTAGAACTCGTCGATTTATTTCCAACGATTGCAGATCTGGCGGATGTTCCCATACCGATATGTCAAATTAACGACATGGACCGTCGGTTGCGCTCGGGAAACATTCTCACCCGAAAGGAAATGTCCAATCCTTGTAGCGAGGGTATTACACTTTTGCCGCTTATAAAAAGTACCCTAGAATGTCAGGTAAGGTATACTTTTTATTGTAATGTACAAGCATACAAAATGAAGATTCTTGTCCTTATGATTTATCCCTATGATTTGCAAAAATTCAGAAAGTATCTTGGAAAAAGGCGGCGTTCAGTCAGTATCCGAGACCAGGAATTCAACCTACGCTTAATCCCAATAGCGATAAACCACGTTTGAAAGAAATAAATGTAATGGGCTACACTTTGAAAACTCGCGATTATCGTTACACCGCATGGTTACCGTTCACGCATACGACGTGCAAACCAGATTGGGATATCATCATCGCGGAGGAATTATACGATCACAGAACTGACAGGAAGGAAAATTTTAACATAGTAACCTCATCGAAAATGTTAAATATAAAAAAACAACTCAGAGCGTTACTAAAAGCTGGATGGAGAAGTGCTCTCCCAAATTAAAATATTATTAAAATTATAATGCAACATTTTGATATCACACCAATGCATTTAACAATATCCAATATTATATCCCTATTTTAAGTATTTAAGAGATTTCTTTGTCTATATATAGCATAGAATTAATAAATTACATTATCATGTATTGATTATATATCACGGAAGAAGTGAATGCCAATAATCAATCATAATTTATTATATATTATAAAAAAATGTAAATAAATTTATAAAATATTTATTATAAATATACATAACTATAAAAATTTTTGGAAAATATGCATTACATATATCTAACTATCAATGATAAAAAATAAAAGTCGTTTTTAACATGTGCAAATCGAGTTTTAAATATTTCTTGCATTTATATAAACTAAAATCTCTCTATGTAATATTTTATGCGTAATATACGCATTTTTTTCATGGCAATCATCAGTTTGCATTACAAATATTGTATAAGAAAATTTTAAAAATGTTAACATATATTTGTATAATTGATTTGTAAATTGATGAATAAATTTTGAAAATGTTAACATATATTTGTATAATTTGTACGTGCATATAAATTTGATTATGCAAACAGTTATATTAATGCTATAATATATATAAATATCTTAACACGTACAGTACTACTTATTATATTACATAGGAATTACATGGGAAATCAACATAAAATATGAATAATATCTTCGTATACATGTTTGAATGTTATGTGTCTCTCTCAATCAAGATTTATATCAACTTACCAGTAACATTATCGCACAAGATAATAATAATTCATACAAAATATTCATATAGAAAGCTTACTCCTCCTGAATTTTACTGTTATCAATTGGTTGTGCAGCTACTTGTGCGCTATTCATCCCGCTCTGTCGTGTTACAGCTGTATTACTTACAGTGGGGACCTATGAATTCAAAGCATAATTATTTATCAAGAATTTGTTTAATAAATTCAGAAATTAAGAGGTCAAAGGCGTTAAAAATCCTGCTTAACCGAGGAGTGTCTGGAATACCTATATCTTGTTTGAATATCTTGATCTATATACTTTTATTTATTTATTGCAAAATGATATTTTCATCATTGATATTCAAATGTCATACCAAAGCAGATATACTATACCTCTATTACATCTTGGTCCATGTTTCCACCTGCATTATTAGATACAGCAGATGGAGCTGGAGCATTTTGATATGTAAATAGGTTTGGAACTACCTCTCCTATTTGTGCACTATTCGACTGCACAGGTTTGTTCGCATAATTTGTCGATTGCCCCAAAAGAAACTGAAGCTGTGAATTTTGTTGCTAGAAAATATGAAAATTACAAATAAATATTTTGGAAAAGTGATATATGAACAAATATATGTATGTACATATTACATATATATATATATACATATATACATATATACATATTTATATTTACATGTATATTGCTGTTGTTTAGAACTTGTGGTCTTTGTTGAAAATTCGGAGTTTGCGGTCTTTGAAAATTCTGTAAAATATTACAAAATTATGCAAATTATTAAAATTATGCATTTCATATCGTATCTCAAAATATCTCTGTGTAACTTAAATAATAGATAAAAATAGCTAAAGAGCTGCTATTATTACTATCATTTACAAATAATTTTGTCAATATTATTAAGTGTGTAATACTAGTAATAGATAAAATAGCTCATTACCGACATAACTGCTGGATGTCGTATTGGTTGTACAGATTGTTTATTGTACACTGCGGCTTGCTTCTCCCAGTAAGTATACATTTCCATTAAAGCTCGATTAGCTATCAGTTTTTGTTGTTCCGGCGTTGCATTAGGATACTGCAAATTATCCAAAATTATAAATAATTTGTTTGAGCTATTGAATAAATATGGTTTAATGGTATCTTTAGAGTATTTCTGCTTACGTCTTTACGAATAAGATTTTGAAGATTTTCATACTCGTTTTGCAAAGACATATTTTGAGGTACCATGTTAGACTGTACAAGATTCATCATGTACTGCTGTTGTAGGAGCATGTTATTTTGATAAGCTGTATTTATCGGATTTATTAATGGTCTTCCCTTCTTCTCCTCTTCATATTCCAACCAGGCCTGTTTGCGTTCTTCCTCATCTAATTCCTCTTCAGCCTGTTACATATAAATTTCGTTAGATAGGATATATAAAAACATACTCTTTATATACGAAAGAAAAAAAAATTTTTTTCACCTTATTCTCCAGTAGAGAATCATGCTCGTGGTAATTTTCTACCAAATCCTTGTACTTCAAAAATATCTCTGCTAACAATCTATCTTTAGGTAAATTTAACGTGGGTTTTTCCTCATCGCTATACGGCTCAAACGTATACAACTCGTTTAGATTGTGATTACTATAATGTCGTTCAATCTGTTGTTCATCCACGACTCGGCACGAGAGCGAGAGTTTTGTAACTTGGCGATTATAAATCTTTTCCTCCATTGTTCCCGCCGCCAAAAACCGATATACATAACACGGTTTCTTTTGCCCAAATCTGATGATTATCAGATCAACAAATCAAGATTAATTGATTCGAAATGTATAAAAATAAAGACGATAAAAACGCTAAAAAGGTACCTATATATCCGAAATATGCTTTGCACGTCATGAGAGGGATTCCAACTAGCGTCGAATATAATCACTCGATTTGCCGCAGTTAAGTTTATTCCCAATCCTCCGGCGCGCGTGGATATAAGGAACAATCTCGCCCTCGTATTGGTAGGTTTGTTAAATATTTTACACCATATACTTCGATTTTCGGCTGAAGTTTGACCGTCCAATCGAAAATAATCGAGACCTAACTGCCAATTTCCGGTATGATTATCTAGGGCGTCATTGGTTGTACCTTCTTGAGTCTGGTCGTCTATTCTTTTTAAAAATTCCTCAATTAAAGTGAGAGAATATAGAGATTGCGAAAATACGAGCCTGTCAAATAACCAACAATAATAATAAGCAATGACAGTACGATTATTTAATGAAAAATTAAGTACGAGATACATACACTTTATCACCGATCTGTTCACTCTCTTTTAGAATTCCAAAAAGTAGTAATAATTTAGCGGACACTCGAATATCTTCAAAATGTTCAGATTGTACAAACTGCGACCACCATTCTTCTTTTTCTTCTTTTTTAACCTCTTCCTCTGATTCTTCTGATTCTAAAAGATTAATTTAATTTACAACATTTTTTTCAACATTTTTTATTAATATTTTATTGCATTATACACGTATTATTCGCTTTACGTTACTAAGTTAATTTATTTATCTCTTTAATGTAAATTAAAATAAACACATGTATCATGAAGACTTACCACCAGGATTATTTCTTGTCCTACGTTTTGAAACATTTGTATTTTCTTCATCGACAGCTTGAACGTCACTATCACTACTGGAATTATTTGAACTATCACTGTCAACATCGGTAGTGTCGTCATTAATGAAATCTTTTAATGAACCCTCTGACTCGGTAAGTAACTTCTTCTCATTTGCTTTTTCTATTTTCTCTGCGTTTAGACGTAAGACTACAGGATGCGTCCAGATTCTTTGTAATGCTTGAAAATCTGCGAAAAGAGTTCCTCCTTGACCTCCTTGGCGTCTGTAAGAAAGAAATATATATAAAATGATATATTCGATCTGATTTATGATAAATAAAAAATGATTGCATTTTTAATTAAACGAGAAGAAAGCACAATAACGATAGCACAATAAGATCTCTGAAATACCTGGCAAGATTTTCTAGATAATATTGATACATTTCAATTTGCGTCTTTGTTAATCTGACAAAAATAACGTATTCCTGTTTAGGTGGTAAGAACGGTGTAAGCACAGAGTAATCGAATCTCTGTACACTACCCTCTAACATTTTGTGCAACACATGTGCACGTTTTTTCATCAATTTAACGTCATAAGCGGTAGAATCATCAAATTGGCCATTTGTTATCGGATTTACAAATCTGTTTAAGAATTCTTTCTTTGTACCTAGCAAATTGGGCTTTACAAATTGCACCATACAGTGATCTACGAGATAAAGTTAAATAGATATAAAATACTAGTTTTTAAATATATATATAGATAAATAAAATGTTTTGTATATAAAAAATATAAAATAAAAATATTAGATACATACATTCTATTAAATTATTTTGCAGTGGTGTTCCAGTAAGTACTATCCGTCTCATAGTTTTTACGCTTCTCATACATTTACTTAACGCAGTGTCTTCGTTTTTCAATAAATGGCCTTCATCACAAACAACAAGATCGGCACCTGGATTAACTAAGCATTCCAATATCACTTCTTTCATACCTTTCCGAATATTTCTACTCGAACCCGTAAGATTACGAAACATTTCATAGCCAATAATCAGCACACCGCCAGTCTTTTGCCACCTCTGCAGCTGACACTTTCTCTCAAAATTCTTCCTAAATCTGAAAGTGATTATGTTTATTCTGTTATTGAAATTCTAATAATAAAATTGTATTATATAGATAAAAAATTATAGATAATTTTTAATATTTTAATATTTATTATGAGTACCAGATGCTCACTTTGTTAATTCATATACGTGAATATCATCATCTAAATCTTTTAGCCACGTATTGTACTCATTTAGCCAATTGAGTACTGTGCTCAACGGACAAACTATCAGTACTGTCTTAACACCCGTTTCTTCATGAGTAAGAAGCGTATATGTTAGAGTTACTACTTGCAATGTTTTGCCCAAACCCATACAATGTGCGATTATACATCCGGATCCAGATGTAGTCTTCGTTCTTTCTAGAGATTCAAAGCAAGCATCCCACATAAACTTAATGCCTTGCGCTTGATGCGGTTTTAGACGCTTTACCAATTCTTCATGCACGGTGACGAGTTCTTTCTTCGTCTCTGTATCAAAGTCTAAAACGAGCTTATCTACTTTCTCTTCGCCAGCGAGTCTTATCTCATACATTTCATTGTACTGCAATGAAAAATAGCTGTATATAATAAATATGTTAATATAATACAGAAACTAGTACATAAGCACAGAATATACCACAGCTTGGCGTTCAGCGATACGTTTCAGTCTCTCCTCCTCTTCCTTAGCAGCTAGTTTTGTATCCTCCGCTACTTGCTTATCCTTCAGAACTTTTCGTATATTTTTTCGACCGCTTTTACCGGGCGTGGATCCTTGCGAATTTTTTATTTCTGCGTCACTGCTATCACTATCAGATGCCATTTTCTTGATGCGTTTTCTTTTCGGTTTTGACCTGTAAATTACATAGTATAACAAAAATCAAAGATAAAAAGAAATAAAATAAATGTATATGTATAATTAATAACAAAAATGATATAATTAAAGAATTAAAAAATTTATTCATATAAGACCACGTTTTTAAAATATCTATTATACATTACCATGCTGATTTTCAATAGCCTTATTAATTATATATAACCTTTTATTAATTATACATGTATACAGGTGGCTCATTTTAATCTTAACAAGCAAATATTTCGAAAAATATGGAAGCTACAAAAAGAACATTTCAAATAAAAGTTTTATGATAGTTATTCGACACTCTATAATTTGATTGTTTTAAAAACATATATCGGTTTGACTATAGTTTATTGTTTATAATTATGTTTTTTTTACACCAACGCTCGTGCTCATCATTCTGTGCATAAAAATATTAAGATACAGTTGCCAAAAAATGAATAGCAAACGAGATATTTTATATTGTCAAATTCAAGCTAACTCAGAAAGTACTTACTTTAGAAAATACTTTATCAAAAAGTTCTTGAGACTAGCTACAAAAATATGTAATAAAAAATAGGGGTTTCCATTTAAAAAAACAAAATTGACTTATATATGATCTTAACATGTATACTTAAGGTTAAATCAATGACAGCATCTTATGTTTTCTTCGAAATCATAAAACTTTTGTATGAAACATTTTTAGATACAAACCTTAATTTTCGAAATATTTAGTTGTTAAGATTAAAATGAATCGTCCTGTATATGTTATTGTACTCGCGATGGATTCATATACGACACACACACTTTATGATCGACTCGTGGGAATAAATAGACAGAATAGACAGATTAGAAAAAAACGCTCTTTTAAAACACTCTGGAATAGAATATTACAATCGACAGCAGAGCTTGCGCCCGTCAGCTCTCTGTCAAAGACGGCCTCCAATCAAAAATAACTGTCGCGTTGATAAAGAATGATCTTCTTCTTGAAAAATCAAAATTCGAGGGGCAATATTCGACAGAGCGGATCATTCGGATTACTCAATCGTAACACTATATATAAAATTACTTACTTTTTTTCTGAAGAATCTGTATCTGATGAATTGCTATCACGTTTGCGCCTCTTCCGTCGTTTCTCTTTTTCTTTCTTCGTATTATCTGAGTCGGATGAATTTTCTTTGGCACTTGAAACTTTGAACTCAGAATCTGAACTGCAATCCGTTATTTTTACATCTGAATCCGAATCTATGATTCTTCGCCTAGTTTTCTTTTTCTTCTTGTTAGTTTTTAAGGATTTTTCTTCGTCATCTGAATCGCTACTGTAAAGAGACATATTCCTAATATAGTGTATAGTTCTTAATATAAAATAAAACAACTTAAATAACGTACTTATTTTTTTTCGATTCATTTTCCATTTTTTCTTGTTTCTTCTCCCATTTTTTTTGTTCGATCTCAGAATCGGTGTCGGACAATTTCATTGTCAATAATTTATCTCGCCTCCAATCGCTATTTTCTTTCTTGCCCTAAAACATTAAATAAAAATAAAAGAATTGTATAAATAAAAAATGCTTATTAAATTTCAGAACAAATAATTCAGACAAAGGAGCATGAAAGCTAAATCTTACTAAATGTTGTAAAAATAATAATATTAAAAAATGTAAATGTTTTGATTTTAAATTAAGTCATCTTCAGTATAACCATTATAAAATAAAATAAATACCATTATAAAATAAAATAAAATAAAATAAAAATCGCAACGAGAAATACATTTTTCGTCGATTGAAATAACATTAAATTAAAAAGAAAAATATATAAATATAAATATAAATGCAGAATCTCAATACAGAAAAATCATATTACAATAAAATACAATTAAATACAATTAAAATATAATTAAAATTTATGTTGGATGGAGTTTTCTTTCGTTTAACTAATTGAAAGCGAACATTAAATCTAAATAGTCCGACTATATCATGTTTATCTAAAAACTCTCTTTCCACTATACAATCTGATATAATCCATAGAGACCAATGTTGTCCATAATTAAAATAAGACAAAGCAAACAACAAAACAAAGCCACATTATTGAACTATCAAATCTGTGAGATGATAATACCATCGCATGTCTTAACAAAACGTTAAACCGGATAGTAATTGCCATATTTTATTTCAGATGTGAACGAAAAGGAATTGTTTCTTAAGCAAAGCTTATGGCAGATTTGCGATATAATAATCAATAATTAAAAAACTATTTGTATTTTACTAACTATAATAATTCTCTTTCTTTTATTTATTGATATTTTTTATGAAACTACAAGAAAATGCCTTACTTGTTTTGAAGTTTTCTCTTCAGACTCCTTTTGATATTTTGTTTTCTTCTTTTCTGTTTCTTCATCTTTATTATCTTTGTTTACGCTGTCATCGCTGTCTATTACTATTTCTTTTTCTAAGTTTAAATAACATGTAATTAATATATTTGAGATAAAACTATGTAATCATAAATAATATAACGGTAATTTTTAACATTGTAATACAAAAATAAAAATTAAGAAATGTCGTTAAATATTCTTCAATAAAAAATCATTAAATTTATAAAATCTAAATTAAACAATCAGTAAAAAAATAAAAGTTGAACGAAAAACATCTTGACTCTAAAAAAAGTAAATCTAACTATAAAAGAAACGTCATTCATTTTTATATCGATAAATTAATCAATTTATGAATTATAAAAATTTAAAATGAATTAAACATCAAAAAGACAAGACAACAAAAAAATAAAAACTTATAATCTTAATCAAATAAGTTTTTTTACTTCAATAGGCTTATATTTATAATTTAATCTTGTATAAATTTATGTATTTTTAAAATCTGAAATATTATAATAAAAGAAAATATTTAACCTTTTCCAAGGAAAAAGTGATGTTAAATGTGCTAGAAATTAATCGGGAAAATTGTGCGTTGTGTTTTTTGGAAAAAGTTTCATGCAATAATTCTGTTTTCAACAATATCAAATTGCTTACCGTTTGAATCAGAGGAATTTAATAGATTCTCTTTCGCGATTTTATCTGCTTCTGATATCAGAGCTTCATTAGACATGGGCAGATCATCTACTTTTTTATTTGATGAACCGATTCTTCGGAATCAGAATCCATTTCTATAGTTTCCAAGACATCACCGTTTTCTATTCTTTTCAAATGATCCATCAAAGATTCTTGTTTATCCTTTACTTTTCCTTTTCGTTTATTTGCATTTTTCGAAATTTTTGAGGACGAGTCATCATCCGTCGATGAATTGGAATCTTTTTTAGTATTTTTCTTACGTTTTTTTTCAAGTTTATCCAGATTAACGAGACTGTAAAGGACAATGGAAGTAAGGTATTTTGGATAATGATTAATAAGTAAATTAAATTTGTCACGAAAAATTTATTGTACAAAATATCAGTCTATTTCAATCAAAGCAAATTTTATAAATATCATAAATTTACAAAAAATTTAGAGTTCATAGAAATGATACATATATTCTTTGTATTATGAAAGCACACATAAGTAAATATATTAAAGTTCTGTAGCAAAATTGAACATTTTTTAATTATATTTGAATTATCATGATCATCTATAGAATCATGATTTATAGAAGTTCATTTATAGAATCATGATTTATAGATGTGAGAGAATATGTACATTAAAAAAACTATAAAATTAAATAAACTGATATGTATTGCAGAAACATCTTACATTTTTGTAAATCTCAATGAAGATTTTATACAAATAAAAAACTGTTTTATTAAAATTTCAATTTATTTATAATTTATTAAATTTGGACATCTATACAAATCCTTAAAGGGAAAAGAACATATTTTTATCTTATTAAAATAATGAAAATAATCTGAGATTTAATTATAACTAAGTTCCAACATTTATTGTTAATACTGAAAATAACATATAATTCATGTTTACTTGTTCCTTATAAATTTTAACATTATAATCATACATTATATATAAATTATATAAATTTATATATTATATAAATTTTTAGTACTGGCAGTAAATATTGGAATATAGTTTATGATAATTTATAATATTACGGATTTGTACTCATTGTAAATGTAATTGTTGCTAACATAAATTATTCTCTTTTGTAATTGTTCATGTAATTGTTGCTAACATAAATTATTCTCTTTTGTATTTTTACTCATTTAAGGTTTTTTTTCTTTATTATATCTAATGATAGAAAATTTCATATTTTAATAGAAAACTGAATTTAATTAAACATTTATATGCTTTTACTTATACTTTTCAACAAAAATCCTTTAATATAAGCAAAAATGTTCAATTTGATTGCATACATAACAAAACATAATATAACGTTGGAATACTTCATCCTATAGTAACAAAACTAATGTTAGTAATATAGTATATTTATTATATACTTTAAACTTTTATTATGAAATACTTGTAATCCGCAAGTATTATATTTTTATAAAAATTCATATATTAAACAATTTTTATCTTATAATTTTTATCTTAAATTTTACATGTCATGCAAAGTTTAACTTGACAACAAATAAATTCTATTGTATATTTGAAACTCTATCAAATAGCAATTTAATTAAATCAAACGATGCAAGACGATAGACATATGTTTTATAGAAAATTCTTGATACCTTTTCAGTGCTTTCTGTTCCAGATACTCTCTTGACATTCTTAATGCTCGTGAATGGCGTTTAAGAACTTCTTTGCTTAATCGTTTTACATGGACTATACAGAACATTCTCAGTTTTTTATCTTTTTTGTAGTAGGGATTTTGGTCAAGATGGAGTCTTCTCCTTTTCAACTTGGAAATTATAGATTCTTCATCACTTTCAGATTCATGATTATGTTTAATATTTTTTGTACTCATCGACACGCTTGTCTTTTCGGATGAAATAGATTCAGAAGTGGAGCTTTCACTATTGGATGATGCTAAGAGTGCCAGTTTCGCTTTGGCATTCTTTTCAGAAGAATCTGTTTCAGATTTTTTGTCAATAACCTTTCCCGATTCCGTCGACAAAACTGTAGAATCATCTGAATTTGATTCTAAAAGAGCTTTCTTGGCAGCTTTCTCTGCCTTAGCATCCTCATCCGATGAATTCAGTTCTTGATGAGATTTCTTATCTAATTTATCAATACTTTTCTTCGTTATTTCAGTTTCGATTTCATCGACAACATCCTTTTCAATATTTTCATTCGTTTTATTTTCAAGTGCCGAAAATATTATTGTACTAACGCTATTGACATCAAAATCGTTATCCTCCGCATCGTTGTTCTTTTTAGTTAGATTAATATCATTTGTAGTCGGATCTTCAATTTGTTCAGTTATGTTTCCAATTGGCGACAAATCGGAATCTGTCTCTAACAGAGCTTTCTTCGCCAATGCTTCAGCATCATCGAGAGATTCATTGTCATCAACATTCGTTTTTTGAGATGTTTTCGAGTTATCTTGAACTTCCTCATTGGTTGCAAATACAGGCGCAACTGTATTTTGATCTAATGAATCTCTCTCTTCTTCATTATTATGAAACGAAAGAGATTTACTCTTTCTTTTATGTGAAACTTCATCTTGCAAAGAATTCTGACAAGTATCTAAATTTTCATCTATAGATGTATACTTTCTTTTATCATGATTCGTTTCTACATCCGTTTCTTTTTCTGTTCTATTTTCTTCTACATTTTCGGGAACATCGAAAGACACGTCAAACATATCTATCGACTCGTCGAGTATATCCTTTTCATAAGATTTATCTCTTTCATTTTCTAATGTCATTTCCTTGCTGCCATGTCTCAAGGGAGAATCTTCAATCTCGATTTCATTATTATGGATATCAGTATTTAAGTTCAGTTGCTTATCGTTAGTATTAGTATTTGCATCCGTTAATTGTTCCTCATTGTTACTCTTATCACATTCTGAAAACAAGTGCTTTTTATTTGACTGTTCTGTACTAATTTTCTTTTTTTTGCAAGGATTCAACACCGGAGAACTGGCCAAATTATTTTCCACGCTGTTTTCGTCATTATCTTTTGGTCTGTCTTCATCATCAATGTTAATTCCATTTATGTTTTTCTTCTTTGACGCATCTACCTGCCGAGTCACTTGCGTCTTTTGCGGTGATTTTGTTTCGTCCGCTGAAAATATTTCTTCGCTGTCACATTCAGACACATCTTTATTCACGTCTTGATTGTCATTAGAGATGCATTTTTCATGTTCTTGCAAAGATTCCTCGTTATTACTAACTACCTTGCTTGATTTCTTTGTACCAGATTTTTTTCTATTCTTAGACCATGATCGATAACAGGTTATCAAATCCGTTTGTTTTTTCTCTATTACTGTCTTCAACTTATTAATTTTTTCTGTAGACTTCAATATCAATTGTTCTTCATTCTGCTTACTATATAATTGTTCTATAGTTTCTATATGTATCAGAAAATTCGAACATATCTGTTTACATTCCTTTAAAATTTTTTTTACATCGTTAAAATTCTTTGATTGTTTACCATCTTCCTCGCACTTATCATTCGCAGAATTTTTCTCACAGGGTGACTTAGTATGATCTATTTCTAAATCTGCCAACTGCCTCTTGGAATATTTGTCGCGATTCACTTTTTGAAGTTTTATTTTCTGAAACTCTTTGCTAGAACTATTGCTAGAACTGTTATCCGAATCATCTTCCGGGATCCGGGAGATAGACAATCGCTTTTTTGACAATTCATTATGTTTTGGTTCATCGATACTACTGTGCGATGTTGCACGATTCGTAGAACGTTTTGTACTTCGCGTTTTATATTTGACTTCGTCTTCAGATTCACTAGTGGAGTCACACCGCTTCTTCATGTCCTTCGATTTTGTATTAGCTTTTTCTTTTTGTTGTCTAGTATTTTTTGAAATTCTCTTCGATATTTTGCTTGTGGCGTCATACTCGTCACTTTCATTATCAGAAAGGTGCACACAATCGCAATTAGATCTCGTTATTTTATTCATCAACGTATCGGTAGAATCATCATCGCTGGATATTTGGTTTTTTCTTGATCCAATCTTTTCTTTTAACCTTGAACGTCTCGGGATAGAACCACTTCGTGCAGATCTTGATTTTTTATCTTTGCTTTTACCTTTTTTGTTGTCTTTAGATGATAACAAGGAATCCTCACTGTTCGAATCTGTCAGATCTTCCTCCGATATTCTTTCTTGCCGATTTTTATCCGCTTTTCGCATGAATATCGAAACATAATTTCTTGGATTATCATTATCGTCGTCCTCTTTGTCGCATATCGTTTGCAAAACTTTTTGTATTTCTTTCGTTTTTTCTATTCGTTGTACCTGAGATGGCAAAATATGTTTTTCACTCTTGCTTCTCCTGTTACCCTTTCTGAAACAGAAGATCCATTCCACATGTACATATCTTCTCTTTTTCCCAGATGTATTCAAAGTATTGCGTACACATGCATATCCCTCATTCTTCTTTTAACTCATTTATTCTCGGACTTTTAGTATCTGTCAGCCAGTCCTGTAGCTAGAAACGCGATAGATTCTATTGTGCTCTTCAGTTGTACATCTTGCTCATACAGAATTTTCTTCCTTTATTATATTATGTTATAACAGAACGGACTAACAGCATTAATAAGATATTAAATTATAGGATAACGCATGTTACGTAATATTAAACATGCTCAATGAAACAATGCAACTTAGTTTGAAATTAATAAAAATAACTATAAAGTTATAACTACAAAACTTTAATATCCATTCTAATTTACTATATTAAAATTACGACTAATTGTGTGTGTGTGTGTGTGTGTGTGTGCATATATACATATAATTCATATGCATGTGTGGATATATAAAATAAAAAATATTATGACGAATAGATAAACATCAAAGCATAGTTGAGAAATGTAGGAATACAGCTATGGAATGACAATATGCTTGCCTTATTGGAAAATTTAGTAGGTTTAATCATACTCACTTGCAAAGAGAATTCATTATAACAGCGCATATAGCTCTCAGGTTCCAAATAGGTTTAGGATTACATATAAAACATTTCCAATCTCTCTTTTCTGCATCCAACAATGACAAACTCACGTTCCTCTTTATACATCCCTAAAGTAATTCCAAACAATAAAAATATTTTTATACTTAAAAATGCTATATTATCATATATGTTGAATTTATTACCTTGCAAAATGCCGAGTAACAGTCTTCAATAGAGCACACGTATAATTTCTTGCTGTTGCCACATATATAACACGTCTCAGTTTTATCTTCATAAAATTTCACCTCTATTTTCTTAATGTGATTCCAGCATGTCTAATAAAAATAAAAATAATATAATACACATAGCATAATACAACCATAATCAGCAGAAAAGAGATCTGTTTATTGTTTTTACAATTTCAATAAGTAGAAGAAAAATAAGTAAATTAAATTAACTCTTTAATTAAATCAAAATAAACATAAGTATAAAATAAGTATGAAGCATTTGACTTCATATAGAATGATACAAGTATATGGCATTCTTACCTCACACTGTAGTATTCCAATCAGAGGATGAGAAAAGATTTGCTTTGTATCAACATTCAATTCATCACCACAGGAAGTACATGTTATATCTGTATCTTTAATAACTCTAATATCTAAATGTAAAATATATGATTTTGTGTTATTATATGCAATAGAATTTTCACTAATATATTAAGATATTAACTAAAAGTTTTTTTAACTTCTGACACAAACATTTTACAAGAGTTTCCCAAATATACATTTATATGTATATACTAAAATTGGACAATTTAGTTAATCAGTTAATTACAACTAATAAAATTAGAAAATTAATGACGTGTGACTTCAGTTAATTTTAAGTAAGATTTTTTATTTCAAGTTATTTTTTAAAATAAATTTTAACATTTTAATTTTTTTTTCGAAGTTAAAATTTTATGTTTTAATATTCAAAATAATTTTATAATTTTAAAAAATTATTTTAAATTTAATAAAAATAATGCAAAATTAACCTCTTTATTAACTAAAGTTATTTTAATTTTAATATAACTTTTAATTAAGTATATGCATATATATAAATGCATGCATACATACATATTGTGTACATAATATATATATGATGTATGTATGTATACAATTATATATATATATATACACATATGTATATATCATATACATACATAATAGCACACATATCAGACACATATCATACATACAATAATGTAAGTTATACGACGAAATTAACCTACCATGAAAATATTTTTCGCGGTAAGCAAGCTCTTCCGTAATTGTCTTGATTTTTCTCTGAAAAGCGATATAAAGTAAACGCAAATACTACACATGAAATACGACAGTTGACTGTTGTAATCGTTGTCGCTTACTCAAAGAACTTTTATACCGCATAGGATACGAAATCACTGTAAACGGCATTGATTAGTATTTCCCAACAATTAAATGAAGACTATGTCTTACCTTCGGCATGATCAGGATGCAAGATTGTGGTTAGCTGAGATAGAAAAAAGGAAGAAAGCAACATACGAATTAAATTAAAATTTAATCAGCGACACGGCAACAATCGAGCGACTGTCTTGCGTTGTTCCACGATCAATCATCTACAAATTCACCTCTTCGAGAATTACCGCCCATTTCCGAGGTTACGAGAAAACCGCGCTTTCGACAAAGAACTTCACTGTAAAATCTACACACACGAATATAATGCGTACGCGTGATATGCTTGATGATCAAATTCAAGCAATTTTTTAAGATGAGTTTTGGAACGCAGTTGTAATAAAAATATTTAAAAAAACGTCTTTTGATGAGTTTTGGAACGCAGTTGCGTCACATGTCGAAATTCTCTTTTAGGATGAGTTTTAGAACGCAATTGCAGTAGAAAAGGTAGAATCACAGTACGTTCAAAGGTAATATGCAAGAGTACCCAAATATTATTTTATTCTTGTTTAATATTCGATAAAGAACAAAATAAAATGATACATCTAATGTTTCTGAATCCAGTGACAATAGTGATCATATTTTGAAAGCCCCAAGAATTGACCAATCACAATTGAATGGAGAGAATACTTGATTGTAATTGGCCCATTCTTATGGCCCACGACACGACACCGACACACGACGCATTGTAGAACAGGCCTAAAAGCTTTCTACAATAAGCTATTAATAATAGGTAGTAAATTAGAAGCTAAGAATTGACCAATCATAGATTGAATATAATAAGTATACTCGACTATGATTGGTCAATTCTTAGTTTCTAATTTATTACTAAGAAATTATTAATTATTGCAGAAAGTCTATTAAAAAAACCGTCTACAATAGGATTAATATGCGGTAAGTCATTGATGTAAGAAATTGATAAATCATCGCTGATTATTCGCCTCACAGGGTGCGATCCACTTGGTGCTACAAATACTTTGAAATATTTTTTATTACTAAATTCATAAAATTCTTTGTTCTGATTGGCCGATCATTCGAAGTATTTGTAATGCCAAATGGACCGTAGCCACACTCGATTGTGATTGGCCAATTTCTTACGGCTCACAATTTATACCATATTACTCCCATTGTAAATGGCCCTTAGATAACAGAGCTATTCGAAAAGCATTGGCTCCGTTCAACAGAAAAAGCAGTTTTGCAATTGTAATTTTCCATACGATTGATTTATACATTTAGATCCATGAGAAATTAAGGGCAAAAAGCAATCATATCAGATTTTTACAACAGTTGCAAAGCTGCTTGTTCCACGTCTCACATGTGTATAAATATAAAAGTAATTTTATCAATATTTATATTTGAATATTAAATTTTTATAATGCAATAAATATCAATATAATCAGATGAACATATAAATATGTACAAAATTGAAATAATATATACTATTTCTTGATTTTCTTTGAAAGAGCTTTTCTTTTTTTCTCTAATGCTTCCAAACGCATATCTTCTAAATCTTCCATATATCCTGCAAATATTTACATTAATAAGCTGCCCAGATTAGCTACACAAATTTATAATATTTATAATATAAAATACCTATTTTAGAGGATATATATTCTTCTTTTAATTGCTGTGCAAAATTACTTTCCATGGCAGTATCATCTTCATCATCCGTATCTCTATATTTACTTTTATCATAACCAAATATTTCACTAATATGTTTACTGTAATTTTCTTCATTATCTTCTGGTCCATCATCTATAAAATCAGCCAAGTCTGAATCATCTTCCTCATCGTCGTAAATACGTCCTATAAATTTAAATGTAGTTCAATTAGTTAATTTTCAAAATATTTTAAAAGTTTAAACATTTTAATTTAATGTTATAATTTAGTGTTTCTGAATCTATAATAAGTGTTATAAATGTTATAGTTTATAAGTGAACTTACTTTTATTGGGTGCTTTCTTGATGAGCGTCTTAGATTTCATGTGTCTAACATCCGGTGATGGAAATTGTTTTGGTTTATTATTGGCTAATGAGGATTGCAATTTTACATCTAAAGGTGGAAATTGCCGCGGCTTAATATCCTTAGCTGATATTTGCTTATCTACAGGTTTAGATTTAATCACGTTTAATTTATTAGAAGACTGAGATTTTATATCTTCCAAATTATTTTTACTTTGTGCTAATTTCCTTTTTTCTTCCTCAATAGCGCGTCGCATCTCTTCCAGTTGTTTTCTCTCAGCTTCTAATTTTTTCCGTTCTTCCAATAATTCATTCTTAGACGAGTTTCTGCTCGAATTAGCTTTTTCTACATGTTTATCGTCGGATTTATCAATAATTCGTTTAGGAATGGTCGTTGAAATCTTAACAGTGTTTTTATTTGGCATTGGATTTGAGACTACAAGCTTTTCACTAGTCCTAGGAATCTTATTTAATTGTGCTTTATCAGATTTGCTGGATGCACCTGTGATGCTGGTTTTCTTGGCTTCTAAATCTTTCTTTTCACGTTGTTCCCTCCTTTCTTTCTCTTGTATATATTCTATTTTCTGACGTTTCGTCATTGGTCGTTCATTTTCGACTTTTGGTTTAACTTCCATAACTACAGGTTCATGCTGCTTTTTTTCGGCGAGTTTTAAAAGCTCCGCGAAACCCATAGGTGGTGGCATCGGTTTCTTCTTTACTTTCGGCTTTTCATCCTTATCTTCTTTATCTGTGCTAATAATATTCTTTTCTGTTTTATCAGATATTACTTTTTCATCGACTGTAGCTTCTTTTGCATTCAAAACAGATGATTTCCTTTTTCTCCTATGCCCACTACTTTCCTCGAGTTCTTGTTGTTTCAAAGCTTGTTTTACTCTGTCCTGTAATACATAAAATAATATATTTCATTAATAATATGATATTGTATATATATTCATCCTTGATTCTGCTTTTTTATTACATACAAGTTTCATTCCCATAAAAAATAAAACTATAAAAATGTTAAAATAAAAAAAAAGCTAAACTATTATGACAGATATTTCTTCAAAATTGAATTGTTAATTTTTAATAATAATAATAATATAGATAATAAAATTAGAACATTGATACCTTGTTATATAATACATTTTATTTTATACATTTTATTTTATAAATTCTATTAAAAATTAATAATATTTCTATTTAATGCTTGCAACGCTTTCAGAATCATTTCATTTGTATTGTTTATCAAATGTTAAACAAAAGTCATCATAGTTAATTATTCTCTTCACACTCATCTGTGATTGATCAATTTCTTACGATTTACTGTTCTACTATTCCCATTTAAATATTTTGAGCACTCATATTCTACCAGATATTTGATCAATCTAATATTTTTATAAATATATCTTATAATGTAACTTATTAATTTTATTAATTTTATATCCTCATACTTGAAATTCAATAAATATTATAAATATTATAAATATTATATATCCATATTCTTATATATACAATAATTATGTGTGTGTGTGTGTGTGGTGGTGTGTGTGTGTGTGTGTGTGTGTGTGTGTGTGTAATGTGGATATATAATTATTTAATATTAAATATTTAAACATTAAATTTCAAATATATAATAACTATATATATAGAATGTGGAAAATGATTTTTTCACAATCTGATAGTAGGACTATTTGACTATCCGACCGGATTATAAAAAAATGGCCGGATTGGTCGCATACTGGATAGTTGCCGGATATTCGGCACATCCCTAATTTTTATTATAATCTTATATAATTTACTCAAAGAATTTTTTTTAATTTTTTGATAAAGAATTATTATATACCTTTGTAGATGCAATATCCTTTGCGGTTCTTGTCTCACTACTCAAAATAGGCTTTTCTGCGGGCAAACTATTATATTTATTCATGAATTGATTGTACAATGCAGAAGCTTCTTGAGATTCGTACCCATAATCATCTTCATCTGGCTGAGATGGACCTACAATAACAATATTTTATTTTATAACTAATTCATACATAATTAATTATATCATAAGATATATTTTAAGAATATATTTTGTGTGTGAGCAATTGATATTTTTTTATGATAAAAATAAAGTTCCAAATACCAAGCACAAAAATTCATTTCATAGAGTTACCGATACTAAAAAAGTATCAATAAATAATAAAAAAAGTATGAATAAACAAATGATTATATGTTAAGACAATTAAAAATAATTGTTGCGAAAAATAATAGAGTATTATTATGTATAATTTAAATTAAATGTTAATAACATTTCTTTACTATAATTATTGTCATATTTAACATGTTTTATATATATATATATATATATATATGTATATGTATATATATATACATATATACATGTATGATATTAGTATATATAAATTATAAATATATATTACATTCAACATTTTCCAATGTCATTAAAATAACATTGATTGTAAAATGAAAGAAATAGAATAAATAATTTTAATAGGATTATGAAAAAAATTTAGAAAATTTATATATCAAAAGATACATCAAAAATAATGTTGACGAGAAGAAAAAATGTAATAACAAAGCAACATGCATATATGACTTGCATCATTATGAGAAATATAAATAAAATTATAACTTCATATCGCTTGGAATAAAAATTCGCAGATATTATAGAGATAGAAATATAAGCTACAGCACAGACTTCATACTTATGAATTATCTAGACTACTCCAAAATTAGATGGCTGACCTTAAAGCATCCATCGCTGTGCAAATCCATTGTGAAATTGTTCTGCTTCGATTTGGGATGATGGATAAATAATGTACTGTATCACTCGTATATATTACAACCTGTGGGCAAAAATATTGCCCATTATGGATAAAGAGTTTTCTGCTAATCAAGCTAATATCAAGTTTATTGTGTAAAGAAACTACTAGTTGCATGATTGTTATCAATTTGCTCTGCCTTGTCCTTCATTTCACTTTTATAGTTTTATCAGTTTATAAGTTGTATAATTATTTAATTTGTTGCCTTTGCATTTATAACATTAGTTATAGCATTGATATTTATAACATATTATTTTGATGTTTAACGATATCAATGTCATAATTTTCCAAATAAATTTATTTAAAAACTAAGGTTATTTTATGCAATGCAAAAAAATAAATAAAATAAAATTATGTCTTGGTATGTGTATTTGGAACTTTACTTTTATATCTTATTCCAGATTCCTTACCCAGTAACTTATATTTTAAATAAAATAATAAAATAATCCTTTGTTTAATCTGTTATAAAAAAATTAATGTATAAAGTTGCATAATATTACCTGCAATAGTAATAGCTGTATTTTCACTATCAATGGCATCCTCAATTACAGATTTATTCGCTGATTTACACACTTTCAAATGTTTATTTATCCTATTCTGAGCCTTTTGATCTCGTAAAGCTAGAAGATTCTAAAAAAAAAATCAAGTCCATTTCTTCTTTTAGATAACAAATAATATAAATATAGAAAGAGCATAAGATATAGAAAAGATAAATTATTAACATTAATTATTAACAGGATGATCTTACAGGATGATTACAAGCTTTTTTTACTCACTTCCTTCTTCCTTTTCTCCTCTAAGGCTTTCTTTCTTTCTTCTTCTTCCTTTCGAGCCAAAAATTTCTTGATATTTTCAGAAAGAGTTTTAGATTGTTTAGACTGTTTCTTTGGTGGTGTAAATTTTGTCTGATAACATGGCACAGACTGTTGAGAAATAAATAATGCTCAAAATTGAATAAATATTTTTTAAAAGTAAGTCTTTAAAGCTTGTATTACATTACAAATTAAGATCGAGATTGAATTGGAATTTGAATAATTAAAATAAAATTCACTAAATTTGAAATTGGCTTTTTTTCTTTTGTTTAATTAAATTCCAATTTAATCTTCAATCTTAATGCATAATTAGATAGATCGTTGCTT